TTAAATACAGTAAGAAAAGGATCTATGTGACCTATAAGAAAGTTCTAGGCAGAAAGGAACTGGAGAACAGACTTGGAGATAAGAGCAAACCCTGTGGGTTCCAGGAATAATAAAACCGTTGGTTTTTAAAAAAGAAAGTCAAGAAAGTAATGTAATAGCACTGGGGGACATGAATGATTCCTGAAGCATTCTGAAGATTAAGCCTGCCAGAGTTGCTATAGGATATGATGCAGGGGCTGATATAAAGACTCAGTATATTTAGCCTATACAATTAAGGCGTTTTCATCTCGTGCAATGGGATATTTGTTCCAATTACATACTTAATTCTAGGCTACTGCTTAGGTATTTTTTTTTAAAAACTAAGCTTGTGGCTGTAGAGATAGCTCGGCGGTCTAAGCACCTGCCTGACAAGTGGCAAGGACCTGAAATTGATCTCTGGTACCGCATGCCTTGCAGGCCCTGGAACCCTGCGTGCACTGTGATGGCTCTGGGACCCTGTACCAAATAAATAAAAGATTTTTTAAAAATTGAGCTTAAACTTACATACAATAAAGTACACAGCGTTTAATTCCTTGCAAGAACGATCATGGGGACCCACTTCAGCTGGGTCTTCAGCTTGTGGGCTCAGGCAATCCTTTCTCCTCACCTTCCCTCCAGCTTGTAATATTATCATGTTGGAAAAAAGTCCCTCCTGGGCCTTATGTACAATCTACAATAAAGACTGCTCAAATAGAATTTTACGGCTCAGTGAAATCGCTATATAAAAGTGCTCACTCACCTACCGTTACCAGGAAACCGACTGAACTTCAAAAGCCCTCTGGTGGTATCTCCCTGTTACTGTCTTCATTCTGAAAAATGAACTATCTTCATTTTTAATACATCATTAATAAGCTTGCTAGCTTGAGTAGAACTGAACAATATGAACTCTTTTGTCGGGCTTCTTTCCCTTAGTGTCTGTCACTGTGTGTATTGTGACCATTTGTATATAGGACACTTGATTTTTACTGCAATAAAGGTCAGCATGCATTTGTTTTTTAGCGTTTTCCTTCTCTAACTTGCTGATTCTAATCGCAGATCTGTATATCTGAATGCTGGTTACTTGACCTCCCAAGGCTATTGTGTTGATGTTTCAATTGTGTTGTAAACGTCTTGGTGCGGCTAGAAACTAAAATTTGAAAAACAGGGTTCTCTACGCCTTTGAGCAGAGATGCTGGAATAAGTTACAAGAAGTCATTCCACATTTCCTGATGGTCAAATGCCTCACTTATATCGAATCCAAACACGCGTAATACCTACGCACTCACAGAAACGCCAGTTAAAGGCGCGAAGGCACTGAAAAAGAATACCTGTAACCAGACCTAAATCGGCCAAGCTACGGGGCTCTCACGTAACCAGAGACGTTCACCAACCGCGACCAGCAGTGACGTCACCACGTCGAAAAGGCGCGTGACGTCTCCAGCGCGCCCAAACTTACTGAGAAACGGCTACTTCCGGAACCTTCCACTGTTAACATCATCGTTCTTTCCCACTTAACATAACTACGTTGCTCCTTCTCCCTTTATTGTGGTTTCTCTCGGTGGCTCGTAGGATACCCTTAGACAAGATGGCTATCCGGCTAACCTAGCGTCCCAAAGAGGCCGGAGCAAGCGCTCGCTCTCTCTCCCCCTCTTCCCACCCTCCCACTTGCACCCGGAAGCTCTAATGTTATTTCCGGGCCTGCAACTGCGCAGCCGCAGCAGGGGCGGGGCTAGTAGACCTTGTACAGGTGCCCGCTGGGAGAAAGAAGCGTTTTCTCGAACTTCTCGATACTCGCGAGAGTTAGGTGTTGCTAGGAGGTTCGGCGGAAGGGCGGGGCCGAGCGCTGCGGGGCGGGACTGAGTGCCCCGGGCGGGCGCTCGGGGTGGGCGGAGCCGACGGCAGCCTCGCGAAGGTTCCAGATTCACCGCGTGCGGAGGGAGGGCCGCGGTTCGGGCACTCGCACAGCGGTTGGCCCGTGGCTAGCGCTGCTGAGGTCCACGCCCGCGGGGACTACGGCGATTCCTGTCATTGCGTGCTCGCGTGCAGCTCGGGCTTTAAGTCCAACCCCGCCCGACCATGGCTTCGGCTCTGGAAGAGGTGAGGGGCTCGGCCCGCGGTCGGGCGAGCGGGCGAGCCGGCTCTTCGTGCGGGCTGTGCGGGCGAACGGGCGCCGGTGCCCTTCGTGTTCCCGAGGCCCTTTCCGCTCGCGTGGAGCAGCAGGGGACGGGAAGCGGCCTGTGGTCCAGTCAGAGAGAGGTCGACGGGGCCCGCGGGAGGGCGGGGGCGAGATGTCCGCCCCACGGCCGGGTCGCCTCGGGCGGGCGGTCCCTCCGCCGCGGCTTGGGTTTCTCAGGTGGCCGTGCCGGGCATTGTTTCCAAGCCTTTCAGTGCTTGGCGAGCAGCACTCTGTTACATGCTTACTTAGCTCTGTCGGCTCCGCTGGGGACTTGGTTGTCCGGAGATAAAATGGGAGTAGTAATGGCCTGGCGCTTTTCCTGGCCCCTGTAGGAGGGCAGGTACGCGGTAGGGCAGTGTCTGTGTAGGATTGAGGATTTGCCTGGCTGAAAATGCTCCTCGATTTGGTGAGCAGATACTGGGACATCTCAAATTTTAAGTAAAGGAAAAAAGTGCCGTAAATGAAGACAAATTTAGGATTTGTGTTGAAATACTTAGTCTGGGTATCCAGTAGGAAACCGCGTCTGGTGTGGCTTTACTACACGTGGGTGGCTCCTGCAGATCTGTAAATACTTGGGGCCGTTTCCCCTTTGTTTTGAGATAAAATTTATCTTTTAAACTATTTTAAAGTGTACAGCTTGGCGATTTTCAGTATTACGCAGCCATCCAAAAACATTTTGATCACCCCAAAATGTAAAAACGGGATAAATGTTATTTATACAGTTGTGTCCATTCACCCTTTACCCCCAGCTCTTGGTCACCAAGGTACCTCTGGCATCAGTGGGTTTGTCTGTCTAGGTGTACGTATGTCACTTAAATGAACCATGCTCTGTGTGGCGTTTTGATTTTTTGAAGCCTGTAACAGTGTCGTTTTCCAGTTCAGCTGTGGTGTGAGCATGTATCAGTAGTTGATGGCAATAATGCTGTGAATGTTTGTGTACGGGTCTTTTTGTGAACAAGTTTTGAGTTCTCTGGGATATATATCTAACAGTGGAATTGCTGGGTAACTGCCCCACCATTTCCGAAGTGGTTGTACCATTTTATATTTCGTGAAGAAATGTTACAAAACAGTCCAGTTTCTGGGTCTTACTTGGTTTTGTATTTATGGTACCCTCGTGGTACGGATGAAGTGTCGAACATCTGTCCTTCTGTCTGGTTTCCATGTGTACATCCACAGAAAATGACTGTTCAGGTTCTTTGCCCATTTGGAGGGCAATTTGGATTTAAGGTCTCGTGAATATTATGAAGTGTAGGGGCTGGAGAGATGGCTCAGTGGTCTAAAGCACCTACTTAGAACAAGCTTAGCAAAGCATCAGGGACCGCGGTTCGATCCCCCAGCACCACATGCCAGCCAGCCCCGCCCCCTGGTGGGCTGAGCTGGCCACACACACACACCTCTCTCTCTCTCTCTCTCTCTCTCTCTCTCTAATAAATAAATAAATAAATAAAATTTAAAAAAAAAGATAATGTAGTAGAAATAAAATACAGGTTTTTCATTCACAGAACAAAGGTAGATCAGAAGTAACTACCTAGAATGGCCTAGAGTATAGGTGCCCAAGCTGCGCTGACTGATAGGCTGGCCTTTGCTTTTTTCAGTTTGCAGCCACAAGAACTGAGGAGATAAACCCAAGAAATTGTATCTATCTATCTATCTATCTATCTATATCTATATAGATAGATATAGATATATAGACTATATAGATAGATATATCTATATCTCTATATAGATATCTATATAGATATATCTATATATATGTATATATATATCTCGTTTTCATATAGGAACAAATACAGTTTGTTTGTTTTTTCCCACCGATACAGTGTCTTGCTCTACAGCTCAACTCATAGTGGTCCTTCTGTCTCAGCCTCCCCAGCACTGAGATTACAGTCATGCACCACCACACCCAGTTTTGGTGGCAGCATGGCACACCCAGAGTTCCAGAGCCGGCTCAGCATGTGGTACCAGGGATCAAACCTGGGTCCTTGTGTGTGTGCCAGGCAGGCGCTTAGACCACTGGGCTATCTGCCCAGCCCAATACAGTCATTTTATGTATCCGTATTACATTGGAATTAGAATCAGAATGAATTTTGAAACTGTTATAATAAGAAGACTAATGTGAACTGAAACATCTTGGTTTTAGCTTCAAAAGATTTTTTTGGCGGGGAGGTCTGTGTAAGATGAGGTTATTTTGGAGGCATTGAACACTGCTGGATTTTTTTATACTAAGTTAATCTGTTACAGATTGGGAAACCTACATCTGAATTGAATAATATAATAAAAGATAAGGAAAAGGAAAAAGTTTTCTGTTTAACTGCATTAGGTTATTTTTTTATCCATAATTTTATTGATAAACAAATAGCAATGAGACAGTTTCAAATTATTGAAACTGATAGTTTCAATAATTAACACATTGCATACATTGCATTAGGTTATTAAGAAGCAAGCTTTAAAGTTTTATTATATTTATGATATTTATGAACTTACTGTTAAAGATTTTTTTCCTATCTGGAGATTGAACAATTTGCCCTTCACACTGAGCTACACTCACCTTCCCCCTCCACCCTTTTATTTTATTTTTTTTAATTTTCTATTTTTTGGAGACATGTTCAATTTGCTTTCTTTAAAAGGAAAACAAAAACAGGATGCTTGAATTATTTTCAATCCAGTAAGTTAGAGGAAAAAAACAAAGTTGCATTTCAGTCCTGGAAAATATTGATGAGCTTAATCTTTAGCTCTTCTTTTGGTGAGTTGAGATGAAAAATAAGTTTTATTTATCATAACTCATTTACCTTCTATTTTAAAACAGTTACAGAATGATCTAGAAGAGGTAAAGGCATTACTGGAAAAGGCTACTAGGAAGAGAGTACGTGATACCCTGACAGTTGAAAAATCCAAGATTGAAACAGAAATAAAGAATAAGATGCAACAAAAATCACAGAAGAAACCAGAACTTCTTGACAATGAAAAACCAGCCGCTGTGGTTGCTCCCATCACAACAGGATACACAGTGAAGATCAGTAATTACGGTATGACCTGCCCCCTCCATCTCAGCCTCTGACAAGGAGAAAGCCCTTCTGCTTGTTGATTGAAACTTTTTATGTGGCTTGTATGTTTTGTATGTTGACAGAGCTCATCTAGGTTAGATTGCAAGCTGACAATATATACTGGCATGGTGTTTATTAGATGTTAGTAGGTTAGCTAGATAGGTTTTATTGAAGAATTGAGAGTCTTAAGCTTACGTTTTACCTTGTGCTGGAGAGGAATTGAGGAAGCTAGAATTCCATTTAAATGGCTTAAAGAAGTGGAAATGACCAAATTAGACAGTGGGTTTTGTTTTTTGTTTTTTTATTTTTTTAATGTATTTAGTATAGGATCTCACTATGCAGATCTGACATGTAGTGATCCTCCTGTTTTCAGCATCCCAAGCACTAGGATTATGTAGCCCAGGGTAGTCTCAGACAAGCAGTGAACTTCCTGTCTCAGCCTCACAAGTTCTGGGCACTTTACACCCAGTTTCAATCACAGTCTCAGTGTACCCCAGGGCCAGGGCTGACACAGCTCACCAGGGATTGAACCTTGGTCTGCTGAGCTATATGGCCGGCCCTAGACAGTGTTGATGTTGAGTCATCTAGCTTAGTGGAGAATTACTAGAATTTAGGTATAGGTCAGAATTATTTTCCAGACAGGGTAAATGAGCTATCTTTTGTTGTTGCTTTGAGACAGCTTCACTACATACGACAGATTGGCCTTGAACTCACTATTAGCCCAGGGTAGTCTCAGACGAGCAGTGAACTTCCTGTCTCAGCCTCACAAGTTCTGGGAACATGCCTGGTGAGCTAATCTTGATGTAACATTTTTATTCTAAAGGACTTAGGCTTTGTATTAAAAATTTGAACTTGAAACGAAGTTCTCCAGTTGTTAGATGCCTAATTTCAAGTACTTAATTGTTTTGAGGATCATTTTCTTTATCTAAAAATTTTATATGGAGTCTCATTTAATAACCAAATGCAGGTCTTCTGAGGTCACTAAGCTGATTGCTAAATGAGGAACTATATATGGTATATACATTTTGATATTCAGAAATCTTGAAACTCCTAAGTTAGATAACTTTGTTTTTATTTACACAACTCTTACATACTGAACTATAATATGAAGTAATTCCTTGATTCATGAACTTAATTCTTTCCATGATTTTGGAATTTTTTTTGCGGTACCGGGGATTGAATTTAGGACCTTGCACTTGCCAGGCAAGCACTTACTCTACTGAGCTATCTCCCCAGCCCTTATTTTGGTCTCATTTTGGACAAGGACCAAATCAGATTCCCCCAAAAGGTCAACATTGAAACTAACCAGCAAATTTGATTTTCTTCCAATTTGGTTTGCAACCAGAATCATAGAAAGAATGAAATTCTGAACCAAGGAAGGTACCACTATATTACAGTGTAAGTACAACAGTACTGTATAGTACAATTAGCAAAAAATACTGTGTAAACAAGGTTTACTCTACAAAGCGAGACATTGAGGATCTATAAAGATGTACAGAACTGTAAAAAAAATCATAAAACCAAGCAGATATTAAACAAGGAATATTTGTACTGCTTTTGGTTTCTGTTACTGGGTTTTCATACTTTTACTTTATTACTGAGCTTTCCCATAAGCCACATGCATTTTGGTGTTCCAGATACAGTTTGAGAGACCTGCTTGTGACCCACCATCTTTTTTGCTTGTTATTGGTAGGATGGGATCAGTCAGATAAGTTTGTGAAAATCTACATTACCTTAGCTGGAGTTCATCAGGTTCCTGCTGAGAGTGTGCAGGTGCATTTCACGGAGAGGTGAGTTTTTCTCATCATGGGAAAAATAATGATCATTAAGAATTGACCTTATTATAGGCTTCTTTTCTGTACAGTTGCTAAAATTCTGCTCAAATTTAGAATTATGTCTTCTACCTGCTTTGAAGCGGTGTTGAAGAAATATGGCATAGTCAGATGTACAGGGTATTTGGAACTGTAAAGATAATGTATTCACCATTGTTCTTAGGTCATTTGATCTTTTGGTAAAGAATCTAAATGGGAAGAATTACTCCATGATTGTAAACAACCTCTTGAAGCCCATCTCAGTGGAAGGCAGTTCAAAAAAAGTGAGTATGATTTCTTTCTTTCATGTCGCAATTTTGTGATAGCTAATTCAAGTGAACATAGTTTAGAGTTGAAATACTTGGATAATCAGAATGAGTTTTCAGCTCTTGTACTACAGTATAGAAAACTGCAGCCCACCGCCTGTCTGTAAATAAGGTGTGACGGGAAGGAGCATGGCAATGCTTGATGTACCGTTGCGGCAACTTTCCTACTACAACGGCAGAGTTAAGTAGCTACGGCAGATCCATGTGGCCCATGAGAGAAAATACCTGCTGTGTGGCTCTTCAGGGAACATACTGGCCAGCTCATGTTGTAGAATAGATTGGCATAAGAATATTGTAATAAAAAAATAAGAATATTGCATTAAATATGGGGGAGAGAAGGCGCATAACTTAATGGCAACTGTTAATGGGTATACTGTACGTAAGATTTTGGTATATAAAGGGGGAAGGAAGTACTTAGTCTAATTATGGTAAATGTTATAAAAATACTGAAAGCTTTTTTTGTTTGTTTTGTCTTTTTGAGGTAGAGTCTTGCTTTGCACTTCAGCCTATCCTTACACTCGCTTTGTAGCCCACTTGGCCTCAAACTCAGAGGTCCTTCTGCCTCACCCTCCCTTAGTGCTGGGATTAGAGGAGTGTACCACTACATCCTGCTTAAAATTTATTTTAAAAAAAAGTTTTATTCATACCTTTTAGTAGTGACACAAATCTTTTCAGTTCAGATAAATGAAGCTTAGTACACCATGCATATACATATTCTCTGCTGTTGTCTGCTACATATAATAACTTAAAGATATTAAAATGTAGTTTAGTGATCAGCTAGTATCACTGCATCCTTAATGCACTGATCCCATAAATGATGGGATACTCAGGAGTCCTCGGTGACTTGATCACTGTTTAAGGAGTTACGTGTTATTCCTTCCCTTCCCGCTGTCCAAATACTTTATGCTGTATCACTCTTTCATCACTAAAATTCAGCCATTCTTTCTCTACAAATATACCAAGACCAGCTTATCTTGGAGTCATCCATTCTGCTTTCTCTGCAAGTGCGTAGAATTCCTGTCTCCTGGATCCTGCATTTCCATTCATATTTCATCTCAGAGAAGCCTTTGGAATGAAGTTCTAACCCACCCCTTCACTATTAACAACCTATTTATCTTGACACGTAACTTTTTTTTGGGGGGGGCGGAGTTGGTGGTAGTTTTGTTTTGTTTTTTTGGTACGGGAATCAAACTGAGGACCTTGTGCTTGCTAGGCAGGTGCTGTGCCGCTGAGCCCACCATTTATTTAAGTTTAGTTTAGTTTTGTTGTTTTTGGGGAAGGGTAACACTTACCAATTGTTGAAGGTATTGAAATTTTACTTATTTATGGTCTTTCCCCTCAATGAGTTTTCAGATTCTAGCCTATTCATACAAGTATGACAAGCACCTAGAATAAATCCTACTCATACTAGGCACTTGATTGAGAAAAGAATTGTTCTGTGAATAACCATTGTATTTTTCCCACTTTTCTTTTAGGTCAAGACTGATACAGTTCTTATCTTGTGTAGAAAGAAAGCAGAGAACACTCGGTGGGAATACTTAACTCAGGTTGAGAAAGAGTGCAAAGAAAAAGAGTGAGTCTGCTTTTCATTTCTTCAAGGATTTTAACCAAGTTGTTGGCTGGGGTTATAGTTTTACTGTGAGTAATAGAGTGCACTTCCTAGTTTGATTGACCATTTGTCTCCTTATGTTCACTAACTTCATTGTCTTAATTCTTTCTCAACTATCACAGCCTGCTTGAAGAGGACATAGCCTAGGGTGTTGGTTTGGAAGAAGGTTTTTGTAGTTACAAGTGGCTCATTAGTTCTTATTCCCAGCCGTAGAGGTGTCTCTCCATGTATTGGGCCTGTTCCCAGGACTTTGTTTTGGAAGGTCCAGCAAGACTCAGATGTCCGAGTTACGTGTTTTGAGCCCTCAGATTTTTTTTTCATTGCCAACTCTCCCATTGTTGGGACAAAATACTTGAACCTGCAACTTTGCCACTTACCAGTCTAATCATTTAAATACAGCATAGCCAAAAATTGATTTTTTTTAATTTTTATAAGTAATATAACAAATGTAAAAATGAGTTTTATCAAATGTATTCAATAATTTTTTGTGTATGGTATTTCTTAAAACTCAGTACACAACACAGTTTTGCAATCTGGGTAGTATCTAGTGTGTTTCTCAGTTCTTTTTGCATTATTGTCTTTGAACAACACACTTTGCTGTGTTAAGAGGACTTTCCTTTTTTTCTGTGGGTGGTATAATTTCTTTTTTAAAAAATTAAGTTTATTGGTGCATTTTAGGTGTGCTGATGATCACAATCCTCATAAGGAATTGTACCTGTATGTGACATAGCTTGATTCCTTTTCTTCTCATTTTTCCTGCCCTCCAGTCTCTCTTCCCCTTATTTACAAAAGCTTTGTTTCCATTGTTTTCTTTTCCCCTACTCCCTCCCTAATGCATCTTTCCATTTGAACAATTTTTTCCTGCTTCACAAGTATCTATTTAACATTTTAGTTCTTTGTTTCTCTTGGCAAAGAAAACAGTGTGATATTACTTGTGTGTGTCCAATGTATTTCACTTAAATGTATGCTCTCAAGGTGTATCCATTTAGCTAGAAAAGGCTCAGGCTTATCCTTTAATGGCATAGTAATACACCATTGTAAAAAAAAAAAAAGTCCACATCTTCTTTATCCATTCACCAGTTGATATGCATTTGGGATGCTTCGAGATTTAGCCGTAACAAACAATGCTGCTGTAGACACGGACTTGTATCTATCACTGTGGTATAATACTTTTATTTTCAGAAGATATGGGGGTAGTATAATTTCAATAAAATGTCTACCCACTAAATGTAATGGTGAATATGTCAATGATGGACCTCTTTTTCTCTCTTTTGGACTTTGAGACAGTCTCACTATGCAGTTAAGGCTGGCCTTGAGCTTACTTTGTAGCCCAGGCTAGTCTCGAGTTCTCAGTGATCCTCCTGCCTCCAGGTGCTGGGATTACAGATGTGTGCCACTACTGTGCACAGTGATTTGCTCCTGGGGCCCAGGAAGCAGAACGGGGGCTTGGCGGCAGGGAGCAGGAGAGATGCAGTCTCTGGAGGGACCTCCGGCACCTGGCCCGCCTACCTCCTGAAAGCTCCATCTCTGAACATGTGGCACTTATGGGGGGACATTTCTGATAGTTTTTATTATCATTGCTGTAGAGTGAAAAATACTAAAATACTTTTATCCTTAATACTGTTTGAAAATATGTATTAAAAGGTACTTGATGGTGCTACACATCTGTAACCCCAGCACTTGAAAGGCAAAGAGAAGAGGATTGCTGCAAGTTTGAGGCCAGCCTGGGCTACATAGTGAATTCAAGGCCAGCCTGAGTTATACAGTGAGACCTTGTCTCAAACCCCCCACCCCCAAAATAAACTAAGATCCTTCCATTCTGGGTCAGTTGCTCTGTTTTAGAGTTTCTTCAGTGTGATGTCTGAAGTGTGATTTCTTCAGTATCACATAGCTGTCTGTATGTCTTTCTTAGCTGGTGGCCAGCATGCTCTTGGGATGTGATTGGCTAGAGCTTTATGTACTGAATGAATAATTATGAATGGATGGTTGATTGACTCTAAGACCATGCTTCTCTGACCACCAGGCTCAGATCCATGAATCTCAGGCTTAAGAGAAAATTTTTTCTAATGTGTGAGTCTCAGTACATGTCCATATGAAATACACTTTTGGTTTTTCCCCTTATTTTTGGGGTTTTTTTTTTGTATTTTTTAGGGAAAGGTCTACAGGGTGTTCAGGGTCTCACTACTAGATCAGATTCATAGAGATCCACCTGTTTACAGCCTCCCTAAAGTTTCTTTTTAATGTGAATAATGTGGTTTTAAAAACCAAAGTAAGTCAGAAAAGTAAATGCTTATTTCCCTGCTTAGAAAAGTCACTTGAGGGGGAACTACCCGCTCAGGCCCCCCTCCTGTCCCTCTCTTGGACAGGAGCTTTCTTTCTCTCAATAAATATATTCTGCTAAAAAAACAAAAACGAAAACAAAAACAGTCACTTGAAGTCCCAGCCTTCTGTAGTAATGCCTGCTGTTCTGATTGTGTTCAAGTGTGTATTATGAAGATGAATTCTTTGTGCTGTGTTGATGGGAATATTTTGATGGGATAATCTGTCTTCGTCTTTGCTCTGCCCTTCTGTTAACCTGAAATTATTTGGCTCCATGTGTTGACGTTTCCATTACTGTGTGTTTTCTTTTTGACAGAAAACCATCCTACGATGCCGAGACAGATCCTAGTGAGGGATTAATGAATGTTTTAAAGAAGATTTATGAAGATGGAGATGATGATATGAAGCGAACCATTAACAAAGCTTGGGTGGAATCAAGAGAGAAGCAAGCCAAAGGAGATTCAGAATTTTAAGACTTTAAAGTCCTTTTGAAAACTATGATTTAGAAATTTCTGATATTTCCAATAAAGGAATGTTGGTGAGCTGCACATAGAAATTTGACAGAAAGCTACAAAGCCTTCAAACTAAAGGCAGTGAATTCTCCATTTCTTACTAGAGGATTTATTTAAGATGCATATTAAGTACTTCCTCCAAAGATGGTTTCATTAGTATCCTGGTCATTTTCTTTATGTAAGGGTTACATGGTATTCTCATTGAAATATAAAAAGTCTTACCTAAGGAAAACAATACATCGTGTATATTTTTGTTCATCTAGGAGGTAGAAAACAGAAGTATATGCTTGCCTGTAAGTTAAAGATGTCAGCTCCCACTAATGTAAGAATAAGAGTAAAACAATTTTTTGTATAAAATTCAAATGTGTGCTTGTGCTTCAAATTTACTGTAGAGTGGATGGTCACCTATTGCCAGCTTGAACAGTGCAGAGCAGGGACTACCATGCACTAATCCAAACACAAATGTTTCTATCTAGATTTAAATATATTTGTTTATGAATATAGAATTGAAGTAATAGACAAGCATCTTTATGTAAGGCCAGTTAGTAAGTTAGTAAGTTCTACCATGGATCAGATAACTTTAATAACCATAAAGTAAAAATAATTCATTCGAAAGTCCATTATTCCTATGTTCAATAAAGTTGGATTTTTATGTAACAGAATAGTTTCACTATGTGTTTGTCCACAAGTATATCACACAGGAGAAGTCAGGCAGTACAGTGAAAAGAAAGCATATACATGGAAGAAAGCTCAGGTGTATCAACCCAAACTATAGTTTGTGAGAATTTGGTAGAAGAGGTAGAATCTAAAATTAATGTACAGAAAACATCCTGTAGATGGTAAAATAGCCCTTAGTAGGAATCCACTGGTCTCTTGGTGTGCTCTGTTGTACCCTGGGGAGAAATGGCGGCAGGAATGAGAAAAGGAAGACCAGAGCTGGGTCAGGTGGTAGGCAGTCAGCCTGGTTGGCAAAAGGACCCCTAAGCGACTGTAGGGACATGTATTTATGCCTTTGCACAGTCACAATACATATGTTGCCTAGCAACTAATAACCCAATTTTCAGGCAGGATGTTTTTCTCAAGACAGGTGGCTTGACTGCTTTAGGCAATGTGGCCTCATCCTGCCCTCCCACAGATCATCAATTTCCAGTGTCAGCAGCTCCCAGCAAGTAAATACTCGAACACATACATGAGTAAAAGACCAGGAAGAGGACAGAATAAACAATGCATATGACAGTTTTAGAATGTGGTATGTGGCTCTTCAAAACTAGATGAAAAAGTAAGCTTTAATGATACTAACATAATTAAAAATAGCCCTGTGTCTGGGCCTGGTGGCACACTCCTGTAATCTCAGCTGATGCAGGAGGAGCAGACTGAGCACATAGCGAGACCAAGTCTCAAAAATAGCCCTATAGATATATTCTATAAGCATCAGAAGATCTAATGTATAATACAGCATACAAGTACCAAAACATATTTCCCTGCAACTAAAGTTTTGGAGAAAATTGTACTTTGTGACTTCAAATCTCAAAGGAAACTAAATATTAAACAACATAATATGTGGTAAACACGCCTATGACTACAAATAGCACATTGGGTGTTCCAACAATTAGGAACAGCTTATAGAAGAAAGGTAAATGACCTTTAATAAGGTGTTCATCCTGTTCAAGAACAGATACTGAGAACCACTTTCTTACCTCTCACTGGAAAAACTTAAAACATAATTTTGAGTGTTGAGGCAATAGAAAAAAAAGACATGAAAAGGTCACATGGAAGTTATGTGGTAGTATCTGCCATTGTGTATCTTGTTGCTGGGACGTGATACCAAGCATTGGCAATTTAAAGGAAAGATTTATTGGCTCACAGTCTGTAGAGATTTCAGAACACTCTTGATAGGGAGAAAGGCAGAGGAGAAAGCTTCTGTAGCATGGTGGCAGGAATGAGGGAGGTGTCCAAGGTCACGACCCCAGTGACCCAGCTCCTCCAACTGGGCTTCACCTCCTGGAAGCACTGCCCCCCACACGAGTGAGTGATCAGTGGTGTCACCTGTGATCTCTCTGCTTCCCCAAAGCCCCACCTATGTGCCCATGATGCTCTGGGGAGGACATTAGATATAAACCATAGCTATGTATTTATCCTTTCAAATTTATAGGATCCATGAAAAAATGACATGTAATGATTAATGTAGAAGATTGAAACATTGTCAAGGGAAGGGGAAAACAGTACAAAACACTATGTTTACATTTTCCTAACAGTGTGAACACTTATTTCAGAAAGAAACTAGAATGATAAACCAAAACTAATTATCACCCAGTTCTCAGTTTTGCAGACTAAGAAGTCCAATATCAAAGTGCTAGTGTTTCTCGATCAGGGCTTGGTGTTTGCCTCCAAGGTAGCACTTTCTGGCTAATACAGAAAAACGGTGGAATCAGAAAACCACTAGTGCAACCTGTAATGAAATGACAGGCCCAGGTAACAATCATCAATGAAATACATCAGCCGTGAGGTAAGAAATTAATGGTGAACTTCAAATATGAGGATCAAGCTGATCCTACCTGGACTAACTGATAAATCTAAGCATGTATGGTAGGAAACTAACCACCACCACTGATGGAAATATATTTCCCTAAAAACAACCCGAATCTAGTCAATTCTCAAGATGATAGAAATGGAGACAAAAAAAGGATGCATGAAGAAGCGTGGCCAGAATTGTTGGACAGCTTGGTTTCTCCAATAAAAGACAAAAAAGGAGAGGAGAGTGACAGGCACTTAGGAAGCAAAAAGGATTGTAGAGAAATGGCAGCTGAATGAAATGCGTACTTATGCTTACCATCAAATGACCCAAAAGTTGGGAGAGGGATGAGAAATTCTATCAGCAAATTTGTTACGATTTAATACTAAGTAATAATTTGAGATACTAGATACCAGTTGAATTGCCATACGAATTTAGGAAATACATATCCAAAGTATAGTATGAAAATTCTTTCCCAGCTCTCCTTGAGTTCCAGACTGCTATTAAGTTGAATTCCACCTGGAATCCCAAACACTGCCACTGAAACCTTAACTGTTTCTTCTGAATCTATTTTTCATTTATTTTTATCTTGAAGTTGCCCTTTGCCATCTATTTTAGCAGGAACCCAGAAAGCCCATATTACCTCTTCAATTATTAGTCTTGTCTTTAAGGTGGGTGTAAAAATACAAACCTATAATCCTAGCACTCAGAAGGCTGAGGCAGGAGGATCACCATGAGTCAAGGCTAGCCTAAGCTATATAGAGAGCCTATCTCAAAAAAACACAATACAAAAAAAAAAGAAAAAAAAAATCTAGAAACTGTCCTAGAACAAGTCTTCTTTGCTACTACTGTCTACCTTAATTCAGGCTCTGGATTCACAATTCAGACATCCTAACAGGTTAGTTTTTGTCTTGTATGATGATCTACCACGTAGCTATCAATGATTTGTAAAAAAACTGGTCTTTTTTTTTTTTTTTTTTGAGACAGGGTCTAGCTATGCAGTTCAGATGACCTTGAACTATGTAGCCCAGGCTGGCTCACGGGCAAATGCTGGGATTACAGGTGTGCATCACCACACCTGGCTTTAATGTCATTTAAAACTCCAATACCTAGTACTGGATATATGAAATGCTCTACGAATGTGGCTCGTCTTATGCTTCATATTTCTGATACTTTGAAGTGACTGGTTTCGTTGTTTGATGCATTCTTTCTCTTCTTTGTGCTTTACTCCTACAGTGACTCTCATCACTTGTCACCTGATTTAAGTATCTTCATGAATATTTTTTCTGATGCTAAGTACATTCTTCTATACTGCTATGCACAATTTTTTGTCACTGGGCTGATCACACGGTTGTCAACCTTTGCTACCCTTACCTGTTTGTCCAGCATATAACTAAGTAGGAGCAGAAGGGATAAATGCCATTCCAAGGTATCTCTTTCCTCTTTTTCTTGTCAGGGGCTTAGAGGTATGTTTTGTACTGCAGGCCCTTAGATGAGTCGGAAAAACAGTGGTTCTTTTTGCCAGCTTTTACTTGCAATTCATTGTTTCTCTAACAATAATTAATATATAAGGTAAACTCTGCAGGCAGATTACAAAATGCCATTCATGAATGACCCCTTGGTTGGCTAAGTCATCTGTAAGAAATAACTCTTTATGAAGTAACATTCTTTTAAAAACGCAAAAACCCTCATAGGAAAAGAAAATCATAACATGTTTTCATAGAACATTTTAAATTCTATATTTTACTGCATGTGGGAACAGTATAACTATTAAATCAAAAATGTGATTCACTGATGATGAAACATCCAAGTTTCTTTATATAAAATTTAAAAGTAATTTAGTTATAAACAAGGTACACAAGTAAACTGAACCCCTATAAAATTAGGGTTTTGTTTATTGAGAAAGTCTTTTCTTGGCAGGGGCTGGTTACCCTGAAAGCTCGGTAGATTCTGGAGCTGATTTACCACATGGCTCGCTGTACCCCAGAAAGTTGGCCGTGGTCAGCTAAGTGACGGAAGACAATACGACTAAGCCTCCAGCGCCGCTTCACACCACGGGGACGGGACGTCATAACACAACGATTTCTGATCCTAACAGGACAGCTGTCCCGAGGAAGGGCAGCAATTTCTTCATCAGCTACGTCCTATGAGAAACCACAAAGGTACATGATCGGCACCCCAGGCCCCACCTGTGGCTCCTTTAGCCGCTAATGCTCTGAAGGAGATAACTCCTGCTATCATCAACAACAATTCCCAGTGCCTCCTGCGCCTCGAGATGAAGGGCAGGGTTGAAATGCAGGAGAAACTTTGGGTCGAATAATACCCCAATTTCTCTGTGGTCATCACTCATCAGTACTTCCCTGGGACTGGATAATGAAATGGCTAAAAGGCTACTTAGGAGTGAAGAGTCATCTTTAGTCTGAAACTTCCCAGAGTCAGATTAAAGGCTATTTGTGTATGTAGACTTGGAGTGTTTGATCTTATTCTTTAGAAAGTATACTGATACTAAATCACAACAAACAGTATCAGAAAGTGATCTCACGGGAGTTTGTGATTTGTAGAAAAGGATTCATTAGCTAACCTGAAGATCTTTTGGCAAAATGGTATTCTTCCTGAGTGAATTGATCCGCAGTCTCTCATCTGCATATTCATAAGCCATTTTTCGTCTCTTCACATCACGTAACATTCTCCAGTCTACATAATAACCTCGAACTTGGCCTGGGGCTGAAGAAGGAACCACCTAAAAGACAGTGGCAAGGATTACGGGAAGGGTGAGGCCAGTCAGCGTAGGTCCAGGAAGTGCTCCTCAGTCCTGAAGTCTTCTGGTCACTAGGATCTAGGATTTCTTTCACAGTTATTCTGGGTTACTTTAATAACTCAAAATAACAGATATACTATTTCAGAACAACTTTTACGAACATACAGAGAGGTAATAAGTAATATGAGGTCAAGAATGTGAGCTGGAAGATGACAAATTTTTAGAAAATTTTTTTAACTGTTTAACTTTTTCTTAGGCTAGTATCCAAAAAGTAAAAACATAGTGAGGGCCCCCCTCACCTCCTTCCGCATCTGCGCAGCAATTCCCGCCTGCCGTGAATATTGTTACTAGTTGCTATACATCCCTCCGGAGGCTTGTCTGTGGAAGGGCATATCTACATTCCTCTTCCAATTTTCAGCCCTCTTTTTACTTAACAATACACCTGAGAGATCTTTTCGTATCTGTAACAATCTTCCTCATTTTCTTTAAATTGCATAATATTTCACTAAATGGGTGCATCATTATTTAACCTGCAACTTACTGGTGCACAGTGAAGACTATACAACATACCTCACCATTTATGATAAACAGTGCTACCGTGAATAATAACGTATGAATCATTTCAGAATATAGCTGCAGGATAAATTACTGAAAGAATTTCAAGGTCGAAAAGAACTTAGAAATTGTCACCGCTACTTGACACTAATTATTAACACTAGTTAGCTAATAATTTATAGTTCAAACCAACAAAAACAGGTAAAAGGGGCAGGGCATCAACTGCTAGAAACTTAAGTCTCTTTCAAACCAGAGGAAACACAACATGTTAACTAAATTGAACTAGTTAAACTATAACTAGAAAATAACGATGGCTTCCTGCATTTACAGAAAAGATAATCATTTAACAAAATAGAAAACTAAGAATAAGTACAGAGGAGCTATTCTTCAGTGTATTAACAAAAAAGAGAAACTAAGGCCCTTTCCATTTTCATTACTAAACAGAAGTCCCAGGAGGAAATACAAGGCTTCTAGAATGGCCTTTTGTCAATGAGACGAGCACAGATGAAATGCAAGCATCAGTTCAGCACGTATTTATCCATACTCGTCGTCTCTAACTTCTTCCCTCCCCCTCTCTTGGCCGCTTCTGCAACCCCCCACTGATTCTGCGTTCTTCGCGGTCCCAACCACTTTCCCACTGAACTCTACAGCCGGTGCTCAGTGCTATTTTTAGAAGCCCTTTCAAAAGCCAGCCGCCTAGTCCCCTACTCCTTCGAATTCTGTCGCCGCTCGCTTCCGGGCCACACATCCCCGGACTGTCGCCCTGCCTGGCTGATGGATTTCAGTCACTTGGTGCGGCTGCAGTCTCTAAAGCCACAATTTTCGGACACTTTCTCTTCCTTGCCGACACTCAAGGCCTTATCCGTAAAGCAGAGTCAATCTCGCAGCTTTCAACGCGACGCGATTAGCCGCTTTAATAACACCAAATTTACTCCTGCAGCTTGGACCTGCCCTGAACCAAGCTGAAGAGGCGCGAAGGCCTGGGGACCGGTCCACAGTAGGCTCTGAGTGGCAGGGTCGTGGGGGACCCGCAGGCTATGGAGCGCAGAGGTGAGGGGTGAGGGTGGAGGTAAAGGTGCAAGCCTGACCTGCCGGAAAGTCCGCAGCAGCGAGCGCAGCACGGAGGCCGCCATGTTGTCCTCCACAACAACAAATCGCTACAACTTTATTGACAGCGCCGAATTACGCAGGCTCGAGGGGCGGAGCCCGGCTGCAGAGGGCGGGGCCTGGCCGTAGGGGGCGGGGCATCTCGGGGGAGTCTTAAGAGAGAGTTAGGTGCGAGATGTGACTCTCGCGGTATTTCATGTCATTCAGGCAAATCACAAAAGTAGGGTGAGTTTAATGTCCCTGGTGCGTTGTCCTGCTATTGGTCGCCTCTTGGTCCCTTTCCATCTTGTTTGCACACCGCCTTAACCAACCCATGTCTTCCCCTACCTCTTTTACTGCCAGTTTCTCTTCTCCTGCCCATCTCCCTCCTGTCCAACCTGCCCCTCTTCTGTTCTCTACCCAGGGTGGGGCAGTACTGCCAGAAACCTAGGAATAGTTCCTAGCTCCGTCATCTTTCCTGTAGATCCTGCAAATCCCTCCTTTCTCTCCACTATCTTGGTGGTGTGATGAAGACAGCTCTCATGTAGGTCTAGGTAATATCTGTACTGGGGTTTCAGGGCTTAAGCATTTTGTTTGGGGGCAGGTGGGTTGCATTGTCCTTTAAAACTTGGTGTTTTTTGTAAAGTTATCTTTTTTTTAATGTATTCAGTACAGGGTCTATGGGGTCTCACTAGGTAAAGCAGACTCGTAGTGCTTCTCCTGTTTTCAGCCTTCCAAGCGCTGGAATTACAGGTGCGTAGCACCTCGGGGGTGTGGCTGGCATGGTACACTGGGGATCGAACCCCGGTTCCTGTGTGTGCCTGAGCAGGCGCTTTAGTCTGCTGAACTATCTGGCCGGCCCTAGGTCATCTTCATAGCAGCTGGGTTTTTTCTTTTTTTGTTTGTTTGTTTGTTTTTGTTTATGGTCAAGGATGAACCTTTGAGGGGCTCTTTCCTCTGGACATAGACAAGTATCATCTCTAAAATGAGTTGGTGGGTATAGTGAGGAGAGGCCTCTGCTATTTATGTCCACATTGTTACAGTGGAGCCTACTGGAAGAAAGGAGAACTGAATGAGCACTCCTTTCTTCTGAGGTCAAGTGTATGGGAACGTTATCTGGTGGAGTAGGCGTGTGTCTGAGAGGCCATCCGGTGGGAAAAGATAACATGAGCTCCTGTTAGAATCAGAAAACTTAGATCAACATCATGCACACATCTGTCTCAAACCCAGGGAACATTTTCCTCTCCCTTCCAATTGAGGATTATCTCCTGTAATTGGTTTGTGAAATGGATTCCCTGTGAACTTTTTTTTTCAAAACTAGTTTTCGAAGCATCGTTTTTACTTCCAGTAGGTGGTGTTTTCACCCTACATTACTGGGATGGTGGGGAACAAGGCCAACAACCCATCTTCCAATCCCATAGGAAGAATGGGCAGCATGAGTACTTATGTCTGGACTGGGCACAGACTGAAGCCAGATCTTCCTGACAAGTGGCCGGAAAAGGCAGGCTGAAGCCACAGGAGCCAGGAAAACCCAAGTGTTTGTTATTTTGACAGTAGTAAATTAATGGTGGATGAGGACATAGGCATAGATCTAGTGCTCTCAGGGATGGTGGGCGCGTGTGCATACCTTGGAAGTGGGCGGACTAGTGCAGCCCTGGCAGTTGTTTACCACATTACTATCAAGGACATTGCGGTAGTTCCAGGTGAACAGCCAGTTGGATGAGGTGTGTGAGGCAAAGCGCAGGGCAGTGATGATGAACCTTTTAGAGATTTCAGTGATCCAAACAGCCCACTGAGGCACGTGTGCCATAAGTTCACTGGTCTGGGGGAAGACACATGGAGCTTTCAGGCCCTTTGTGTCCTCAGGAACCCCCATACCTTCATCTGTCCAGAAATTCCTGAAGGCGTCTTTAAATGGAATTAGTGACTTTTAAAAAATTGTGGTATGATCATATGCAGTGTTCTAGCCCTCCCCCACCTTATTTTTGGTACCAGGGATGGAACCCAGGACCTTGTGCTTGCCAGGCAGGTGCCTGTGCCACTGAGTTATCCTCCCCCCACCGCCCAATCTTAGCCCATTTTGTGCAGTTAGCATGGAATACCTGAGACTGCATAATTTATCAAGGACCTCCTGGCCGCTGGGAAATACGCCCTAGAGGGACCTGCACCTGGTGAGCACCTTCTTACTGCATCATCTCAGAAAGGCAGGATAATATAAGAGTGAGCAAGAAAGCCAAGCTCACGTTTTAAAAATATCTTTAAGTCTTTCTTTATCTCTTTTGTTTAAAAAAAAAACAGCAAATGGATTTTTGTCAGTATATGTTTGTGATACATGATGAATACAGCATATTCACCTAGGAGTGCTGATGCATGTGCAGAACACACTGCATGCGGCTCCAGTCCTCCCCTTCACCTGCACCTCCCCACCCTCCCCAGGCCAAGATCCCCTTCACAGCTCCATAAAGTCTGTCTCCCCATTTTCTATGTGTTTTATAACAAGCTTACTCTCAACACAAGGAAACTGCTCCCGTGATGGTAATGCGAACCCACAAAACAGCTAATCGCTTCTTCAGCGTCTCGTAACATGGTTGCACTGGGGATTCGGTTGCCAGAGCATCAACTTTGGGGGACACATTCAAAGCACAGCCCATAATATACAATTTATCATCCTGATGGTTTTAAGTGCTCAGTGATATTAACCACATTTCACATAGGTGTGCATCCATCATCCACCCCAAAATTTCATCTTCCAAAGCTGAAACTCCATACCATTAAGCAATTTCTCATTCCTCTCTCCCCCAGCCCCTGGCAACAGGTTGACAGATAGCTAAATGAGCTAGACTGATAGATCAGAAAGCAACCCCAATATAATTAGGATTTTATCATATATTAAAGCATTAAAAAATTGACTAAGTGGTACTGGAGTAACTAGGTACGATTTTGGAAATTTTTCTAAATTATAGTTTTACTTCTTACTATGAATCAAAATAAATTTTAAAGACTTAAATATGACTGTATTTTTAAACATTTAAATCTCAGTAGAAAAGTGTCAGAATATCTAATAACGTTAAAGGTATTCAGCCTCACTAGTTTCTGAGGAAATGAAGATTCAAACAGTGAGATAGATCGAAGCTAACAAATTAGCAAAGGCTTGATAAATTCAGCATTGCGATAAGTGTAAGGAAACAGGTAATTTCATATCCTACTGATAGGAATATAAATGAGCTTATCTTGTTATAGAGCTGTTTGACAGGTTTTCTTCAAAGCTGATACCTGTTGACCCATTTATGCCACTTTGAAGAAACTTTTCCAAGGAAATATCATGAAACATTAAAGTTTTTATATGAAGACATTTACCATGGTATTATACATAGGAGCAAGTAAAGTACAGCAGTACAGGGAGAATGAATTAAATAAAATTACAATTCTAAACGTAAAAAATCAGATGCCACAATGAACGTAAACATTATGTGCGGCAGATACATACTAATAAAATACAAACTTTAAAAAATCTGATGGGGGGCAGGCCAAATAGCTCAGCGGATTAAAGTGCTGGGGTTAGAACCCCTGCTGTGCCATGCCAGCCTCACCCCTGGGGTGCACTGAGATGGCTATTGAGACTGGGCATGGTGACACATGCTTGTAATCCCAGCCCTTGGGAGGCTGAACACAGGTGGATCACTATGAGTCCAATCTATGTAGTGAGACCCTATACTAAATACAAAAAAAAAAAAAAAAAAAAAAAAAAAAAAAAAAAAAAAATCTGATGGGATTCAAATTTTAAAATATGTGTGACTATAGATAAAGTATAAGTACAGATTAGATAGAAGAAAGATTAGAAAGGAGATAGGGCCAGGCATGTAGCTCAGTGGCCTAGCGCCCTCTTGCTTGACAAGCACAGGGCCCTGAATTTGATTCCTGGTACCAAAAAAAGTGTGTGTGTGTGTGTGTGTGTGTGTGTGTGTGTGAATTACTATTTTTTTAGATGCAAAATTTTCCTATGATTTTCCCCATTATTTTTATTGATTGTCCAGGCTCTTGGGTTTCATCTGGGCAAATGTATATGTGAACATAGTAGACTTTTTGTTTTTTTCATTTTTTTATGGCTGTTAATTCAGGAAAAAAGGTTGCATAAAATCCAGTCTGTTCTGTTCATAATTTTTCAAATACCAAAGTAAACATACAAATAAGGAGATGGTAACATTCATCTTATGAAGAGTAGAGTATTTTATTTTATTTTGTATTTTAGTAAGGGTCTAGAGGGTCTACAGGGTCTCACTGCGTAGATTGGACTCCTAATGATCCGCTGTGTTCAGTCTCCCAAGGGCTGGGATTACAGGTGCTTGCCACCACACCCAGTCTCAATAGCCATCTCAGCGCGTCCCAGGGGCAAGGCTGGCATGGCAGGCCCGGGGATCGAACCCCAGCTGCTGCGTCTGCCTAAGTAAGTGCTTTAATCTGTTGAGCTGTTTGTCTGGCCCTAGACAGTAGAGTATTTTAAATCATAAAATAAGCTCCATAAAGTACAGCAGGCAAGTGATGCACAATGCGCATATAGGTGGCTTACCAACTCCCTCCCCTGAGCGACTCACCTGCAGCTTAACAATTGAATGGGGTTCAAAACACCCAATCAAGTACAGTATACTTAATCAAAATAATTTCCTTTACTCAAACTTTCTTTCTAAATTAAGGCTTTTATCTACCCCTTTAAACTTCCTCTTCTTCCCAATTAACTCCCATCCCATTAACTCCCACCCCTTTTCAAAATGTACATTAATGCTGTTAAGGAACATGCATGGTGGGCCTAGAGCTCAGTGGCACAATAATATATATTTAAATCATTAAATTAAGCTTCTTTTTTTTCTTCAAGTTTTTTTCCTCTTATAATCTATTAGGCTTCTCAACCAAGATCAAATATTTAAGTCTGCTGCCCACAAACATTATTTCACACAACAAATCTCCATCATTTCTACTCCATATTGAGGAGAGGAAAAATGGCCCCCAGAGCCCTTGTTCAATGCAGCAGTCACCAAAAACACCCAATCTTTCAGATAACCTCAGTGCACTTTAGGAAATAAAAAATTACCTGGAAGCA